TTCTGTGTCTGTGTCTGTGTCTGTGTCTGTGTGTGTGTGTGTGTGTGTGTGTGTGTCTGTGTCTGTGTCTGTGTGTATGTGTGTGTGCAGTGAGTGCAGAAGCGTTATACCCTCATTAGCACTCGAGGTCCTGCTGGTACCCACGTGGCCCAATACAAGCCTATTAAATCTCCATGGGGATGAAGTCAACAGAAGCACATCTCTTCACTTCTTCACGCTTCTGTTTCTTTGGCCTAGCAGAACGTGTTTCTATATTAAACCATTCTTATGTAATCTTTTGTAATATAACATTTTACATGCAGTGTTGGGGAAAGTTACTTTTAAAAGTAATGCATTACAATATTGGGTTACTCTATGAAAAATTAGCTAATTGTATTACTTGGTTACTTTTTATAGAAAGTAATGGATTACGTTACTTTTTGTCACCCGGGCTGGGTTTGCTTATTTCTTAAAATAAATGAATAAATAAAAAAACAAATAAATATTTTGTATAAATAAATAAATAAACAAATAAATATTTTTTATAGTAATCTGATTATGTGACCCCCAACACTGCATATATAAGCCGCTTCTAAAACATGAATACTTTTGAGTATGAATGTGCAGCTACTGAGTCACAAAATTAATGGTGGTCTATTTTTTCATTTTTTTTATGGTAAAATATTCTAGTCCTAGCCTATCTTAATATTCAGAGCCATCTATAAGTAAGCCGTTAAAACTATCTGAACAGGACTATCTGGTCGTCTGAGCAGTTGAGTGTTTTGTTTTTAGAAATTGAACACTTATAAAACATATTTTACTTCTGTCATACAAATAGATCAATTTAGTAGTCTTGATTTTCTTGATTTCATCTTGATTTTAGCAAAAATGTGTAAATAATTCCAGCACTCGTTTCATTTCTGAATGAGTCAGAGTTTTTGAATGGTCGGGTCTAGTTTTGAATCGGTTGAGTGAAGCATTCAGTGACTCACTCATAAAGACAGGCACCGGTTTCGGCCCTTTATGAATGTGTCTGAAATCACATACTCTCTGAGTAGGTACTTCTTTTAAATACGTAAGTACTTTGCGACCTGTATGTTCTGTATGGTATGAATTTGTGTGGTATTTGAATGTAGTTTGGATTGACTACATTTGTCGTGTTGTCAGTGTCATGTGACCTACTATAGCAGCGTCAGTTGCATCACTTCGCTGGCATTCATAACTCCTCTCCCGTGGCCTCATGGGATGGTAAAAGTGTCTATTGGGTGCACATTTCAGAACCTCACCGGAAGTAATCGTCTTCACTGAGTGGAAGGTATTTTATGTGTAAACATAATCTGTTGAGTTTTAGCATAAGACAGATTTTACACAGACATCTCTTCTTTTTATTTAATGAATGAAGACTGTAATGGCTCTGATTTCCAGCAAGGTCACGTCAGGAGGTGATTCGAGTGACTATGACAGAATCAAACCAATTACCAAATGGTAACAGTGAGTCAGTTTAACCGTATCAAATTGTAAATGAATGAAGTTTCCAATGTCGCAAGATAAATGTCTGTGTTATTTGACATCAGACAGTGAACACAGATCTCAGCTGAAATGCAATACTGGGTCAAGATTAAGGTAAAAATGTTGAAGTCAATAGATCAGAAACATCACAAGCTAGACAGAAGTCATTTAAAATTAACATGAAATTAAAAATGACTAAAGGTGTACTCAGTCATTTGTGTGTATTTTGCACTTGTCAATATGCCAGTTTCGTGTTTATACTAAAGCATGGTAAATAATAGCATAGTACTAAAGCAGTCCCCCGAGAAAGCACGAAGTGATAAAAATGTAAACATCTGATGCAGTGCAAGTCGCTTTGGATAGAAGTGTCTAACAAATGTGAAGGTTTTCAGCAATGAATGATGATATAATGAATTTAGATGTAAAACTTTCAAATGAAGAAAAAATACACAGTGAACTTTAATTAGTTGAAAATGATAATTATTAATAAAATGATTTTTACACGTTAATTTAAAATGTCAATGAATCATAAAGACTGTTTTGAGTAAAGCTCAGTCTTAAAGTGCCGGTTTCGACACAGACAAAACATTTAGTCGCTCTTGCGCTGATGGATATCCCTATTTGATAAATAAACCGTCCATTAGAAGGCAGGAATATAACGCTATAACTCTGTTCCATGGGCAGCTTTGGGGCTCTCTGATCACTGTTTAGTTCATCTAATACCGACCTACAGGCAGAAACTGAAATCAGCTAAACCTGTATTAAGGACTGTAAAAAGATGTGCATACATTTCAATATCAATGATTTGCAGAGGATCTGACACCATTAACGAGGGAGTCTAACAGATGGCACAAGTATTAAGTGAATGTAGGGCAAATTCTCCAATCACATGGCATAATGAAGTCAGAGAGGCTGGTGGAGGAGATGGAGGACGTGTGGATGTGTTTGAGAGAGAGAAGGAGGAATCTGGGGGAAATTGCTGCGGCTCCATCCCACTCCAGTAATGACAGGGAGGATCAGAGGAGTGTGGAGACGGACGAGAGCCGCTGATGGCTTTCACACTTCAGTATCTCAGGGCTCCTGCTGACAATCCATCCACAACACTGTAATAATGCTGAAATAGGCCATTAAGGTGCCTCTCCCTGTGCCTCACTTCACTGATCAGACCATGTGTGTGTGTGTGTGTGTGTGTGTGTGTCTGAGGTCTTTCAGCACCTCCGAACAGACTGAGATGTGACAAGTGCTAAAGCCTTGCTCGCTTCTAATTAGATCATGGCCTGCAGTGATGGCAGTAATGCAATATCTGAACCAGAGGCGAGAGACGAGAATAAAAGCGGATTTGGAAGAGCGAGCCAGATCCTTCTTTAAATGTAGA